AAAGGGAGGTAGGGAGGGGTTCCTCAGCTCTTAATCCTGATGAAGCCTAGGCAAAAGCCAGGTACCAACAGCTCTGCATGACTCCTTGCACAGAGTGAAGTTGGCTGTGCTCAAGGCAGGCCCTTTGACATGGTACAGCTGTTGGAGAGAGAGGTTTAAGAGACCCTGACCAGCTTTGAAGCTTCTTGAGAAGGAAGCAAGAAGCCTCAGTAGCTGCTTTCTCCCTGATTTTGGAGTTACTCTTGCACTGTGGCCACTGTCCATTTGCTGAGCAAGGCTGCAGCTGTGCCTGTGGCTGGCTACATTCCTCACTGATCCACATCCAGACTGCTGACTTCATGTCCCGCTTAGTCTCATGCCTGCCTCATCTTCCATGGACTTGTCTGGTCATCTGGATTCCTGACTAAACCTGGTGACTGTCACCAGACCTGCTTGGCTCGTGTGCTGCCATGCTTTACCTCATAGGTGAGGCTGCTTCTTCTTTTAGTGACTCTGGGTTTACTTTTCCTCATGGAGCTGCTCACTTCTGCTGCTCCTCAGTGCCTGCCTGCTCAGCTCTATCAAATGTGAGGTCTTTGCATGCCTGAAAGCATAACTTACATATAGAACTTCAAGATCAATGATGTCTCTCCAAGACATGGCTACAGCCAAGATGGGATCTGTACATTTACAGCTCTGGATTACAGCTTTACCCATTTCTGAGGAAATTACTCCCTTTTCTGAATTAGATCCTATCTTGTCCACACACCATTCCACTATGCAAACAAATGCCATTAGCACAGATATATTTCACTCAAGTTCAATGTCTAGGCTTTCAAAATCAGTATAGAGGCAAGATTTATATTAACCCGAGGAAGATGTCTAAGATTAGGTGAACCTTGCTTTTAAAATGACTTTTTTTCGGATATATGCCAAGCTAGTTAGAACTCTTAGGTGGAAAAATCTTCACTGAGGTCACCTAAGGGATGGGTGAGCTAAATTCTATTCCAGGCCACATTATATCTTTCAGCCCTTGCAGCTGAAAGCCATGATTGATTTGTATTTAGAATACATTTGCAGCCAAGAATAACCAGTATCTTCCAGACTTTTCAGAAGGTGAAAGTTTTTTCGAAAATGGAAGCCTAGCTTCATGCTTAGCTTTCAGATTCAGGCTCTCCAAGGGCAAGAGGCTGGATCCAAGGGATCACAGTCCTTTCTTTCCCCGTTTCTGATTTGCAGATGCATCACCAGGCATTACGCACTTGGCAAGGACATCCCACCAGCTCCTAGATTCCAACATACAGTACAGAAGAGACAGTCAAGAGGGCTGCAGAGCTTAGGATATTTCTGGCTTGTGTTTGAAGACTACAGCCAGCTGGCTTCATTTACCAAGTTTTCTAAATCTAGCTAATCCTACTGCCAGATCCAGCTTTGTGACTTTTCCATTCCTCCTGCTTCACTTTCCTTGAAGGAAACAGGGAACAGCTGTTTGAACAGCAGATACAGCCTGAATGGGCATGCATTTCTCTGCTCTGTGCTCAGCCCATGGAAGTGAGGTGATGGCTGCTCCTGCAGAGAAGAGGATGGGAGAGGTGGCAGCTCATAAAGTAACACCTCTCTCCTCCTACCCTAAAAAAGCAAAGGCAGTTTGCTTCTTTCTGCAGGACTAGGAACAAGGTGTGGGCATTAGTGCAGGCAGTAAGGCGTAGAGAACTGGTGGATTAGTTGCTGGAGGATAAAGCCCTGTCTCAGTCTGTTTGTTGAGGTCATAGTATCACACATTCAACTACACAAGACCCCAGGACAGGTTGAATTTGATGTCATCAGTTGTCAGTGACATCATAGCTCTTTGAGTTCCGTCCCAACATTTTGCAGTCCTATTCCTTCTCTTCTCTTCCACACACAAGGAATGGCTACAAATGAGAATAAGTGCTTTACTGCTGCCATTTGTAACATTGTCATGTCATTAATGTAAAAACACTGGAAAGATTTTTTTCTTGATCTGGAGTACTAAAGGGTTGAGATTTTCAAATCTCACAGAAGAGCTGAGTGGGTCATAAACTCCCATTCTACATTCTGTAAACAGAGCACTTTGTAATGCTCTGTTAATATATAATATAATAATATAACTACAGTACTAATAATACATATATTGTTTTCTGATATTGTTTCTAATTAAAAGGCAGAATACTATAGCCTTCTTTCACTCAGTTCTTATTGCAGTTTTAATGCATATACACATGCCGTTTGATAGTGCGATTTGCTAATAGCATTGTGTTATTATATCAATGTCAAATAGTTACTTGCAATCCCATTAGGCAGATCTGTTGACAATGCTTTCTTGCAGACCTTTTATTCAGTTCCATACAAGCTACTTGAGCTATGCTATTTATTGCAGATGAGTGCCTCACATTCAGTGTGTCTTGGGGATGGTTTCAGAAAGTTAAAGCTAATGGAGTTAGCCCATTCCTCAGAAGGTAGAGAAGGAAAGAAATATGTTTGTTTTGCCTATGTTTGGAGATATCATGCTGTTATCTCATATAGAAGTGCTTGTTTTTTGGAAGACACCCTTAAAATCTGGCATAAGATACAAGGGCAACAGGAGTTAGCAGAGCTGTATAGGCAGCATGAATACATACTCAATAGTTCTTCTGTACTGGGGCTAAAGTAGCTGAGAGAAAGGGGATATTTAGAAGTTTGGGGCTATAGATAGTGAAAAAGGCATTTACTGCAGAAAAGCTGGATAATTATTATTCTTCCAGAGGCTTATTATTTGGCCTGCTGAAGCTGTCTGTGGCACCTCAGAGATGCTCAGTGAAAGCCTCCTGAAATGTTTCTGCACAGGCCACATTTTGTCTCACATCCTACTGCCACTGCCGTTGTTCATCCGTTCTTCCCCTCAAGCACCTTTCCTGGGTGCCAGGGGGCTGCTGTGTTGCAGCGTTTGAAAATGTAAATCAGAAGCATTGTCTCTTCTGTGCTCAGAGCAATTTCTCTGCTGGCACTCAGCTTGTTGAAGAGCAGCTGACCAGAAATATGAAGAGAGGGGAGGTTACAAGAGTTTGGAGAAGAGGCCTCGCCTCAAGCATGTAGAGGTAAGAGATGCAAAAAGCAGGAGCTGTGGGAAATGCAGTAAAAGGAGCAACAAGAAAGGTGAAAAGTGGAAGGGGACAGAGCCTAAGTGCAGCATGGCTTTTCTATCAATGTTTCTAGTTGTGGAAGTAGTTAGGGTCTAGGGTGCAGAGAAAGCATGTAATTGGTGACTTTCATAAAACATTCACAAGCAAGGGAACAAAAAATCTCCAAGTCTCAGTGATAGTTCCTGTTTGTTTTGGCCAAGGGATAGAAGTTCACATAACAGATCTAGAGGTCAGCCCCCTGCTGATGACATTTGTATCAAGGAATACACTTCTGCATAATGGACTTTTTTCCTTGTTTTGGATTTTAGTAACTGATCAGTACAAACATTTCTATATGTGCTAACAATATAATTTCTCCAAGTATGGGTAGGATAGTGTTTTTTCAATCTTGCCTGCTTGGAAATAGCTACAGTGAAGGTGACCTGCACAACCCTTACTAGTCACCTTGTGCACATGACTGTAATAGACTTTGATTGCATCAACACATATTCTTTCTTCCACAGTTGCCTCTGTATGTTGCAGTTCACAGAGCATTTGGATGATGTTGATAATTTGCTGTGTTTCGTAAAGCAGTAAGATGTATATTCCTGAATTTTAGTTTCAATGGAATAGAAATGGTTTGTTTCCATAGAGATATCACAGAATAGTTATGGTTGGAAGGGATCACAGGAGGTCGTCTAGTCCAACCTCTCTGCTCAAAGAGGGTTGAAGAACATATTTCAATATTACTTCTGTAGCAATGCCCAGGTGTTTGATGCATTTTAGAGATGCAGAAAAAAAACCTAGTCATTGCCCTCAGCTGTTTTTTTCCCTGATTTTGTGGTGCTTAGTATTCGCTTCTCTTGTTAATGCAGGAAGCTGTGCTGTGACAAGAAAGACTGCAACTGGTAAAAATGTTTCACAGCAACTGAGGCAGCAGCTAAGCAGCACAGCATGTGCTAGGCAGCAGCACCTCAGCTGAGCCAAAGGTCAGAGGTGGTACTGCTCCTATCATGGGTTAGTGGCATCCCATGGGTGGATTACATCTTGCTCTGGGAGAATGGCCTTCAGAGGGAAGGCCAAACTCTGTTGTCCAGACTTTGCATATGATAGCAACCAATGGAATTAATTGTGGAAGAAAAATGGATCTCATTTTCAAAAAACAGGCAGTATGTAGAAGCAGAAATGGCTGATAGAGCTAGTTAGCTCTTACAGTTTTCTTGAATTTAATATGGTGTTTAAAGTTTAAAGAAAAAAAAACACCCTTCTCTCTGAAATTGCAAGTTTTCTCCAAATATAGAGCTGGTGAGAAAAATGTGAACTGACTTTACCAAAAATATCATCTATGTCGTGAACAAGTCTCAACTACATTAAAGGAGTGGATCTTGTTTACCCTTCCCCTCTCACCCTGCTGCTGCTCTGTGGGGGCCAGCATTTCACAGGGGACAAGGCAGACCAGTGAGAGCTGCTGTTTGCAAACCACCATGTGGGGGGACTGCCTCAGGGCTTTTCCAAACCAGTTTTTCCAGAATAACATCACCTTATGATCCTGACAGCACTGAGAAGCAAAAGGAGAAAGGGAAAGGACACAACAGGCTAACACAACAAGCTGCAGGCCATTGCTGTCTTGCCCATTTGGGTTCTGCAACAGCAGAACCTGGATCCTGGCAGCTCTTTTTACTCCTGCAGCACACCCAGCAGCTCTCACAGTCCTTCCTTATCCTCTGAAAGGGCAGATCAACCCCACCATTTTTCTTCTTGTAGTCCCTTTTAAAGCCCATACATTTTGAAGTCCTTACCCGGTGCCCTCTCAACACTTACGTCAATCACTGGCCCCTATCTGGCCCCATACATTTTAACTGTACGGTTAAACTAGTAATTTTTAGTGCCAGAGTTTCTTACCTTGGGCTCCTTGACTGTAAAACAGTCTGTGAGCAGACTCGACATCCAAAAAGTAGTCCATTTTGAAGGTGCGTTGTGTTTGTGTACAATACTCCGGTATGAACGATCAGTCAGATTCCTAGAGAAGATTACAGAGATGTCGGAGAAAAAAGCTGGTGGGTTTCTTTGTGGAAAGAACTGTGTAGGCAGTCACTAAAGTACTTCATCTGGCATATTAGGGTCAAAGTATTTTCAAGTCACTATTCATAGAACTTCATAAGCATCCTTTTCTCTTTTAGAATGTTTGATTCAAACCCTTGTCTAAAGACAAAAAAGAAAAGTGCTACTGCAATATTAGCAAGATTCCTAGTATCTTCCTAGTACAATCACCTGTATTCTAGTCACAGTCTCCGTTTCTTAAGACACATACTTGGATTCATCTGCCCGTTACATTTGCTCTCAAAAAGAAAATCAGTCAGGGACCTCCTTTAGCCAGATTCCCAGCCAGTGTCTCCGAGTAGGCACTACTATAACAGACTACATCAAAGATTGCATTCTTGCCACTTATGCCAAAATGCTGCACTAGAAAGGAAGACACAATATTCTGGATATTTCACTCCACCTAAATGGACCAGAAGCCAGCCTTGCCTTCCCTCTCTCCTCTTGCTGACCAGAAGTAGGAGCAGAACACACCACCATCAGTTTTAAAGTATGTGGTAAGAGCAATCATTAAGAAACGGTAGGGTACTCCTAGAACTGTTTCATAGCTAAGGTTCATATTTTTGGCATCCTTTTGAAGCTCAGCTCTGCCGAGATCCTAGATTACAACTCTCCAAGATGTACACTGAATTATGTTTGCCTATACTCCAGCAGAGTTCCTGGAAAAATATTGTGACCCTTGTCCAGCTTCATTACTACCTTCTGCATTTTATTCTACTCTTAAAAACTCACATAGAAAAACCAAGATTTGCAGAAAACACTCAACCTCGTTCTCTCACCCACACCACAGTTCACCACAGCATATAATCATAAGCATGCAAACAACTCTGAACAATGTGTATTTTAAGACAGACGGACAAATATACCTCTAGTTCTTTTCCGTGCAAACCTAACAAAAAGGTTTGGAGCAGGGAGTCTGACTCTTTCTTCAAGTAATTCCTTTAATTTTGCAGTGAGAAATCAGAAAACCAGGTTTCCAAAGCTTTACCTTTTTCCTTTGATTCAGTTCTCATCAATCAACATGCAGTCCTTTTAAAATTCAGAAGTCTGTCCTGATGAGAAAACTTTTACGTTCCACAGCAATTCACTTTACTGTAGCACTCCCAAATCAGAAATGATACTTACTGCAGAGTACCAAGGGCTGTCTGGCAGTGGTGTAAGCTCCAGTAGTTTCAAGGAGGGTTTCTTTGATCTTACTAAATGTCCCCAGTGTAAGCAAACAATTTTGATTGTTTGATTGGAACTCTGATGAATAATGCATAACGTCAACTGGACTTCCTTTATCAGATAAAAATGGCCAGGAGATGCTGTTACTTAGCAACAGGAGGTGACACTACGTTCATCTCCCCCACACCCCCTCACCCTTCGTACTAAAGAATTTAGCCCCTGATTTTGATTTGATAAAAACTTTCCCAAGGAAAAAAAAATCTATATCAAGTTTCCTTAAGAATTTGTTTTACACTTCAGTCTTCCTTGTTGCATCTCATATTCTGAGATATTTTTAATGTTTCATAATGGTTAACTTTAAACCTAACATTGTGTTTTATCTAATAATTTGCTTTCACTAAGTAAAATACCTGCTTACTTCATCATTTACCATAAGGGTAATGAGATTGTTTTGCTATGAATATAATGCAAATAACATCTTGAGAAGAGATTCATTTCTTATCTGGTAACTGCTTGTTGGACAAGGCAGACAGAAAAGCAACATACAAAATGTTTCAGTGATGCTATGAAATACATAGAATATTAAGAAAACCTTTCCTATTACAGAATTCCTACTTAAAGTAATTCATTCTTGAAGGAGCTCTAACATCTGATACAGGCATTCTCAAGGAATCATTGCATTTCTGCATAAGATACAGCCTTTTACAAATACACAATGTAGCTTTTTTTAGGAAATGCACGTTGACAAAAAGCCAAAGCACCGAAATATTTTAAAAATAAATAAATAAAATCAGATGCAGAAGTACTTACCAGTGTTACTGACCTCTTTCCATCCTACTGTCATGGAATAAGACTAAGCAAATGCAACCCAGTCTGTGAGCCAGAAAGAACAGCTTCTAATTTTCACTTCAACCTCGAAATGAAGAGTACTGAATAGAGAAAGGTGATGGATCTGCTGTTATATTATGATGAAATGAAAGCTCTTAGCACAGATCTGAGTAGAACTGCTTTTTTTTTATACTACATTAGCCTGCTAATTTGAGGAAAGTGAAAGGCTTTGTTTTACTGTCTTTTATCTGTTCTCTTTACTACCCCCACAATTTAATTTGCATTTAAAATTATTCTTATGTCTCCACTGCACTCCAAGGTATGGAGCATTTTCTAATCACGATGAATGTTCAGTGTGGTTTTTTTGTGCAATGCCACTTTTATTCTGAGCCAGAAACATGGTGAGTAATTATAATTGCCAGCTATTTTCTAGAATGAAATACAGAGTGGTTGTCTGATGCAGTTTTTGATTTTTCCTTCATTTAGCAGTACATGGCAACAAACTACTCAGTCAAAGCATCAGTAAAAATATAAATCAAGGGGCAGAGTGTCATGGCATGATAGCTTAAACATGCATATCCATAGACCGTGAAAGCAGAATATGTTTCTACTGAGATATTTTCAATTATAATTTGCCTTTTAAAAGTTTAAAAGTGAGCTTGAATAGCTAATAAACTGAGATATAGCAGTTATCTCTTTGTGGCTTCCAGCTGATCTAGTTTAGCATTACTGAAACTGCACATAGTTTGGAATTCTGACCAAGCCAGGCATTAGAGGCTAAGAAGGGCCATGCTATTAAATTGCATGGGCTTCTCTCACAAGAGGATCAGGACCTTGCTTTTTCCATCAGGTCTTTGAAAAATTCCCCAAAGCCTTTTTGGAAATGAGTAAGAAATTGAAGAGGGCAGGGATAAAATGATCCTTTGATAAATTTAAACTCAAGAGTGCTGGTCGAGAGAAGTGTCAATAAGCAATCAGACCTAGTTTTCCCATTTTTGCAGATATTTTACTCAGAAGGTCAGATATAAATGCCTTCTGAATTCCATTGCCACCAAATATTACTGGTGCTCAAAACTGTTGGTTCTCAGAGATTGGATTTTTTTTTAGTATCAGAAAACTATATATTAAGAAGCATAGTTTTTTTTGTCATTTGTTTGTTTTTAAGAAGAAACTCAAGAAGATGAATAAACCCCCAGAGTACAGGGTTTTTTTGGGGGCAGGTTAGAAAGTAAGAATCCCAATGAAGAGATTACTAGATGGATTCCCATTCCTAAGACTTATATTCTTTTCCAGAGCACCCAGACAGGGTCAAAGATAAGGAGAAGCTACATGAACTCCAAGTAGAGTCTGGTATGGCTGTTCCTACACTGGCACTCCACTAAATATAGTTGGATTGAGTAGGTGTCGCACTGTGCCACCTTAGTGGAAGATCTGATTTACCAAATTGTGTTCCTGTTTTCAGAGATGTGAAAAACACAAATTAAAGCAAAAGCAATCAGAAGAACACTGCAAGCTGCTTTCTTCGCATTTTTGAGAGTTGCTAGCATCTCCATCTTTGCATTTTGGATGGTTTGTATTTGCCATGGTGACTACTGAACAATAGCTGTATAGCTATATAGCTATATAACTGTCCCTCCAAGCTGGCCTCTGATAATAATTGGATCCATTATCTTGTGGAACAGGGGCCAATTGCCTGTTTAGCCCAGCTGGCATTCTTTAACGTACAACCAGGAAAAAGAAGAGAGGCTGGCAGCGCAGAGACTCAGAAGGAAAATGAGAGACAGGAACATCACTCACTCCAAGGATTATATCTGCCTGTTTGCAAGCAATATGGAATACTTACGGTTTTTCCTCGGGACACAATCTCTCAGTCAGAAGGAAACTGAAAAAATGAAAAGCTTGCAAGCTGGAGAATGTTTAATAGCACCTATCCTTTAGCCTTTGATGTATCCTCCTGATCCTCTTTGTTATGTCCCTTTCAATATGCACTGTAATTTTCAACCATGACTGGCAAGCAAAGTCATTGAAATCACCAGCAGCCTCTCTGCTGACCATTGCAAGATCATCCATCTTGATACTTTCATCCATCTCAGGCATTTACAGTTTATTTTAAATTATAGTGAAGCATTTCTGACAACTGCTAAGAGCTCTGCCTGACTAGGGAGCACTTAGCAACAAGAAAGGTAACAGCGCCTATATATTTATATGCTTCTGTAGCATTCATCACAATGAGGGAAATCCTTGCTTACCTGATTAGAAAATCTCTAGGATGGTAGTGTGGGCTCAGATTTGACCCACAGTCCAGGAAGAGCTCAACCCTCAAAAAAAGGAATCCAGCTGAGTTGAAAAGCCTGTATGTCTAAAGAAACATGCAGATGAGACAGATCTGTTTTAAGCATGATCCCAGATCAGCCTTCACATATCCCTGAGGCTCAGTGGGAAAGTTCTGCACAGCTCTCACACTAAAGCACAGTCCACTGAGATGTGTACTCTGACTTGTTTTCCAAAGAACAGCAGAGCATCTCAAGGGACAGGACAGGGAAGGGCAGCAGTGGCCAGAACCAGAAACTGTACACTCTAGCTCTCTGTTTTACCTGTGCTCTGTCAAGGCCTGAAGCCAAACTTGCAAAACCTCTGCTATTGACTGGATCTCTTACCAGCATAGATCCCTGTTTAGGATAATGGGTGAAGTGATTTTGTATCTAATCTAAAGACACACAGGTATCTATATAGGACTAGACAGAGACTGAATGCTTTGTGAGCTAGACCATTATACCAACCAGTCGAACTCTGCTAGAGAAATACTTGGAAAAAAACCTGTCACACTTAGGAAAAATCTGAAGCCAAAATTCCTCATCGTGAGCTTTA